TTGCGTGACTCTATGTCCCGGCAGAGCAGCCATTAAAGGAAATTGCGGGCGCGGTTTTAATTTAAAGCAAATGTTACGTTATTAATTTTAGACCGAATAATGCGTCTAGCGGAGAAGATCCAAAATCGTTGTCTCAACAAAGACATGATCAGCTCTGGGCCGGCGTGTAAATATTTTTATTTAAATAAAACTAATTTTACGGATTTTATCGCGTATATTAACTTATTTTACTTTCCCGACGTTTCAAGCACTTTACAGCACCCATGGTCACGGGGGGTCCCCCCCGTGACCATGGGTGCTGTAAAGTGCTTGAAATATACGCGAATATACGCGATAAAATCCGTAAAATTAGTTTTATTTAAATGTGTAGTGTTCGCGTAAATATAAGAAATCATTAAATATTTTTATGATAGTAGTCGATCAACGACTCCACAAGAGCGTCGTGACGCGGTAAAATAATTGGATATCTGTATTCTGAACTTTCAGCGGAGTTGGTAAGGCGGCCACCAACGTGGATGAGGCCATCACATAAAAATGGCTTAAGCTTCACTAGCACGGGCGAGCAATTACTACTAGCTGTCGAATGTCGAATGCAAAATGTCTTTTTTGAATATCGCCTATTATCATATGCTCTGCGGCGCTTATATCGAACGCGGTAACTGCTATTGAACCGGAACGAGGTAGTTTATTTATAAATCTGCAGACATAAACAAGAGTACGTGTGAGTCTACTCCATGAGGAGATGCGTTTATTAAGATCTAGAAATAAAGACACTTCTGGATCTGACGTAGTAATGGGGTGTGCGGCTATTTTCTCTTCCGGTACGTTGTCTAGCGCTATACTGTTATGGTCTGTATTGGTGATAGGCCACAGCGAGAGGTCTTGCGCAAGCCAGGACGGACTTTGTGACCACAATGGATGAGATATTAGCTTTTCGGGTGTAAGACCTCTCGATAAACAATCAGCTGGATTATCTATTCCCGCGACATAGTGAAAGTCAGCAGCTGGTAAATTGTCGTGCGACAAAAGTTTGCCAGCGGTGCGGGGAAGATTTTATCCAACAAAGTGTGACCATTGAGTCTGTGAACGCGTACATCTCACTAATATGGTAGCGTGAATCGTAGGTATCGTGCACGCTTCTAATTAGTCTTGCCAATAATTTGGCAGCACAGAGCTCGGACGTGCGATAAACAAAGGCTTCATTGCTGAGACCATTGACTTAGCGTAGACGAGTCGCGTCGTAACCTGGCTTACGTGAGTAATATGGGCGTATACCACTGCTCCATAAGCACGCTCACTAGGATCAGAAAAGCCGACCAGTCGTATAACGCAATGTTCGAAGACCCCCAAATGTCGCGGTATTTTGACGTCATTGAGTAACGGTAACTCTATACAAAACCTTTTCCAGGTTTCGACTATATACTGGGCCGGACAATCGCACCAATCAAGTTTCAATAGCCACAAATCCTTTATCAGAAGTTTAGCGAAGAGAACAACAGGCGCTACGAGGCCCATTATGTCCCAAATTCAAGCTACAGTGGCTAAAATGATTCGTTTTGAACACCTTTCGTCAGGCGTGGCTACTTTAAATTCAAAACAATCGCGAGATTTATCCCAACTCAAGCCCAAAATTTTAAATTGAGCGGTTCTATCAAATTCAATAGGATCTGACATCTTATATGACGAAGGCAGCGCGCTTAAGACCGAGTCGGAATTACATGTCCATTTTACTAAATCGAACGTTTAAATAACACAATCAGCTCATTAGCAGCTGATGCAGCTTCTTCCTCCGACATAACACTAAAAACGGTATCGTCCATATAGATATAGCGAGAAGCAATTATCTTTGCTAGCCGTAATGAATCTCCATCATCCGCAATGAGTTGCTGAATGACACGGAGCGCGTGGTACGGGCTGGAACTAAGTCCAAAACAAACCCTATTAAATTCATATTCGGTAAGTTCTTCTTGCGGGTGAAAACGATATAAAATGCGTTGAAAGCGATGATCGTGCCTATTCATTATAATTTGAAGGAACATCTGTTTACAATCAGCGGAAACCGCGGTTACGTTTTCGCGAGCGGGAAGAGCGGGCACATTGCCCATAATGACGTAACCAAGCGTGGTTTGTATAGCGGGCGGTACAGCAGAGTTATCCCTTACTATACCGGGTAGTAAAAGTTGTGAGAATAAATAAGCACCGATCAAAACATCGATCTGTGATGGCTCAAAGAATTTTTATCGGCCAACGGCAAATCTTGTAAGAACGGCATAGCGGATGCGTCGACAGGCATAGACGGTAAGTCATCTGTTAAAACGAGAAGTGAACTGGAATGCTACAAATCTCTTTGCGTATTTTTCTGAACCCCCGATACCCTTTACCTTTATGTTGTCTTTATTTACTGATAAACCTAATCTATCACAGCATTCCGACATTATAAAATTGGTCTGTGATGCACTATCTAATAAGCAACGCACACTATGGCTCGTGCCATACGCGTCGGGTACCATAACCGTTGCAGTGGATAGCAGAACTGTAGTGTATACATTGCGTGTAAATAAATGTTCTGATACGTAAGATTGCGTTTATAGCGGCGCGGCAATGGACGTTGTACACAACGAAACGCTCTTGCTACGCGCATCGGGCGACGACGCGGGAGCAGCTGTTGTCGATACGGTCGCGCGCGTTGTTCCCAATGACTCGGCGGCGGTAATCACAACGCGAGCGTTAGCAGGTTTGAAAGCGTCAAAGTGAAGTAAACTATGATGTTTACCTTTGCAAATTTTACACTAAGAGTTAAAGTTACAAGTCCCTGCCTTATATATAACACTCAAACAATTTACACAAGCGCGTCGTTCCTTAATATATTTATAACGGTCGTTTGCTGTCATTTTACAAAATGCCGGACACTTGTATAAATGATCGTGCACAATATCCCTGCACAAACATTTGTATGTATCGGCCATAGCGACATAAGATTGCGATTGTGGAGCTTTTGCGGTGGGTCGGTGATTCGGGTTCGAATTCGAGGTCAAACTCAAATGATAAGAGCGCTGTAATATATTAACTTGTTCTTTTACATAGTCGGTTAAACTTTTAAAATTAGGAATTTTATCCTTTCGAGAATGCATTTCGAAAGAACGAACTGTTTCGGGATCTAACTTTTTTAAGGTATTTGTAAGTTTTTTAATGCGCTAACCGCGGCTACGAACGTATGTAAAAATAATTCTAAGTTTCGAGCAGAAGAGTTAGAAACTGGTTTAAAGTCGAAAATTTGATTGATATAGGTCGATGCTAGCATGCGTTTATCATCGTACTTCTGTATAAGCGCGTTCAAAATAAGTTCATAATTCTCAGCACAAGGAGTAATACCGGCGAATACAGAATGCGTTTTGATTGTTAATTTACCTAGTAGGTAATACAATTTATCGGCATCTGATAGGGACGGGTTATCATGCACAATGGATTTAAAACTTGCATAAAATAATGACCATGAGCGGATATCACCATCACCACCAAACGATGCTAGCTGTATAGGCAGTAAAGACGGTCGCGATATTGTGGCCGATTTCGGACATTCATTTGTATTCGACTTGTAAGACGAGACATTACATGTTTTATATGACAGTATAGTTCCTCGAACGCAACCCATGACTGATACCTTTGCTTCTGGGTAGACTTGCATATTATATAAATTGTATTCGGTTAATACCCTTTCGAAATCACTTCGTAATGCATCAATCGAAATCGCGCCAGAAAGGAACTCTTCCCTGTCCACCTCACTATCTACTTGTTGGAAGCGATCATAAATTGTTTGTAAGCGGTTAAATAAAGAATCGCGTCTAGCTATAGCTATATTCAATAACATCATTAATTTGGCGTCTGGCGTTTCGGTCCTAGGTTCATTAGTTTTTGACGTGCTAGTTTTTGACATTTTTTTAATAAATATATATAGGGAATATTAAGGTTATAAATAAGTTTTTAAATTTAACTGGCGAGCTATGAACAAATACACAATTTAGTAAACCTCGTAAAATCTATCGCGGAAATAATCAGGTAGATTTATTAAACTGATCTAAATTTCTTTGTGAGCGAGCGGGTATGTAGAAATTGTAATGTTATTTGAAATGTATTGCGGTAAGTATATGGTAAGTTATATAATAGCGATGAATATACGGCTTTAAATTAATTTAATAAATATATAATGCGTGTATATATGGGAGAAATTAAGTAAAATATTATATTTAAATGTTTCTAAGTATATATATGGTTTTAATTATGCATAGAAAATTATATTCTGCATAGAAATATTCCAACGAAGTGGCAAAAAATGGTTATCGAATTAAAAAGGTTTTAATCCGGGCGAAGTGACCAAAATGGTGACGCGTGGTTCAAAATTGGAATAAAGTGGACTGTAAAAGGTATTTGGAATTGGATTTCGTTGAAATTTGCAACCGACTCATAAAACTGAAGGTAGGCACCTGGAGAACGCCGTCAGCTTCTTTTCGTATTTGAGGTTGACACTCGCGTGGTACACTCCTAGTTTTCTTGCGCGATTTACACTTATACAATTCACGGCCGTGATTTTAGCGTATGATAATTAAATAGATATGCGAGTAGCGAGCGTGACACAATATGCTTCCGCATGCCGGCGTGTTTTTACTTAGACTTTTTCTTCTACCCGATTGTCGGTGGCAAGAAGGAATGAATGGAATGAATGAATGGTATTATATAGGAAATCTGATTCGTCAATAAGTTTGACCAAAAATGCGGAATATTTTAATATGAGAAGTGGCGGTAACAATGAGGTTACTAGAAATATTATTCATTTTTATTTTAAAACATGTTTGTGGGTCCCCCCCTCCCCCCCAAACCAACTAAACCACTTTTTTGGAAATATGAAAACTACCAAACATAGTAGGACATATAAAAAAGTTGGAGAAGAAGGATTTTTATGGTCTTATGATAAAGAAAAATGATAAGAAATCTTAAGAACTTACCGCAGAAAATTTGGACCACATTAAAGCAAATAATCGCTTCCAAGACCATAAAAATTTCGTAATTAGGCGACCTGTAGGGATCATCCTTCGGGAGCCAAAGAGGGAACGCCAAGGGGCGAACCGTATTTTCATTTTGTGTAGCGAACATACTTTGATATGTAAGCTTTACTATGCTCGTTCCCATAAACATACAAGCTACGGTACTTGTAAATATAAACCAAACGTAACATAATTGCCAAATCAATAACTGTCCGTGAAGAAATGGTTTCCTGAAAAAAAATTACGAGTATTTACATTTGTGATTTTTAAAGTCTTATTGTTAGAAGATATGTTGAAAAAAATCACGGCGCCATATTGTACTGGTAGCTTCATAACCGATAAATCAGCACCTTATTACTAAAATGTAAAAAATTAACATAAACACGTCCTCGACTTCAAAATATTATTAACAAAGTGAATTAAGGACGCGTTTGCAAAATTGATAGGTATAGAATCGAACTATTACATTGACACGGGTCACACACACAAGTGAACGCACGGTTAGCTGCGGGAATTACGGGAAAACATTTTGATACTTTGAAAGATTGTTTTTTTTTTCATTTCTTATACTAACAAAAATATACGCAGATACGAAATTCGAATACCTACCTGTGTGACCTTAAAGTGTACTTCGATGAATGCTACTGGAATTCCTGGACGAGTAGTATAAGGTGTGCCGAGTTGAAGCTCGTTTTGTTAGTTATAATAATAATAATAATAATTGGTATTTATTTTCTCCCACATATAATGATCAGAACATCACAATAAACTTAGTAACAGTGAACTATACAACTAAATAAACTTAGACTTAGCTCGGAGCTCGGGAGCTCGGGGCTAAGAGCCCGGAGTTAAGGTATCATCATAACCAACAAATCGAACCTTAACTCGGTTCACCTAGTTCTACTTATCGAGGAGTTCCAGTAGCAGTCACCGAAGTACACCATCAGGTCGCTCTTTCAAGTCCGGAGGTAAAGGTCTCGTGATAACTAATTGAACGAGCCCAAACTCGGCAAACCTAGTTCTACTCGTCGAGGAGTTCCAATAGCGGTCACCGAAGTACACCATCAAGTCTCTACATCAAGTTTGGAGATAAGGTCTGATCATAACTAATAAAACTAGCCCATACTCAGCAAATCTATTTCTCCTCGTCGAGGATTTCCAGAAGCAGTCATCAAAGTACACTTTCAAGTCACTCTATCAAGTCCGGATGTAATATCTCATCATAACTCACAAAACGAGGCCAAACTCGGCACATCTAGTTTTACCCGTCCAGGTGTTCCAATAGTAGTCATAGAAGTCCACCATCAGGTCTCTCCATCAAGCCCGCAAAGTAAGGTCTCATCATAACTAACAAAACGGGCACAAACTAGGTAAACCGAGTATTACTCGCCGAGGAGTTCCAGTAGCAGTCACCGAAGTACACCATCAGGTCTTTCCATGAAGTCCGGAGGTAAGATCATAACTAATTGAACAATCCCAAACTCGGCACACTTAGTTATACTCGTCCAGGTATTCTAATAGTAGTCACTGAAGTACGCCATCAGGTCTCTCCACCAGGCCCGCAGGTAAGGTCTCATCATAACTAACAAACCAAGCCCAAACTTGGCACACCTAGTTCTACTCGTCGAGGAGTTCCAGTAGCAGTCATCGATGTACATCATCAGGTCTCTCCATCAAGTACGGATGTAAGGTAACAAAACGAGCACAAACTAGGTAAACCTAGTACTACTCGTCGAAGAGTTCCAGCAGCATTCACCGAAGTACACCATCAGGTGTCTCTATCAATTACGGAGGAAAGGTCTCATCATAACTCACAAAACGAGCCCAAACTCGGCACACTTAGTACAGTAGTAGTAGTCAGTTCTACCCGTCCAGGTGTTCCAGTAGTAGTCATAGAAGTCCACCATCAAGTCTCACCATCAAGCCCACAAAATAAGGTCTCATCATAACTAACAAAACGAGCACAAACTGGGTAAACCTAGCACTATTTGCAGGTTGCTGCAGACTCCGTGCTACAACAGGTCCCATCCGCAGAGATCGTGATACTCGGTGATTTTGACGCCCACCACGCTGAATGTCTTGGTTCTTGTTTAACCGGTCATACGGGTAGATCTGTCTATGACTTTACCTTGGCATATGGTCTAACACAACTGGTCACTTCGGCTACGCGGATCCCAGATGTGGAGGACCGTGTACCTTCCCTGTTGGACCTTCTGCTGACCTCTCATCCGGACGGATATCAGATCTCCGTTGATGCCCCTTTGGGCTCTTCGGACCATTGTCTGATCCGGAGTATGGTGCCACTCACGCTCCAATCGCAGTTGCGATCTGCAGCTTGCCGCCGTGTTTGGTACTATAGGTCGGCCGATTGGGACGGGATGCGGTCTTTTTTTGCACCCTACCCTTGGGGCAGGTTTGCTTCTCGCAGAGAGATCCCAGCGTTGTTGCCGATTCTGTGGCTGATGTGGTACTTCAGGGTATGAAAATTTTTATTCCATCCTCTGTGGTGCCCATCGGAGGCAGATCCCAGCCACGGTTTGGTCGTTCCTGTAAAATAGCATCACGCTATAAGCGGGAGTGCTACCGGACCTTGGCTGACGCATCAATGTCACAGGATGTAAACACCAGCGCTCTTAAAAAGAAGTATAATTCCGCCTCCAGGTCCTTCAAAAGCGTCATTACCAAGGCAAAGTCTGAGCACATCGGCAGAATTGGCGAGAAGCTAGTTCGCCTTCCTTCGGGAACTCGTGCAATCTGGTCTCTCACCAAGGCTGTCCAAGGAAACTTCTGTCAGCCATCTCTTCCATCTCTGCACAGAGAGGACGACTCACTGACCCATGCCGCAAAGGAGAAAGCCGATCTGTTGAGCTCTCTCTTTGCATCCAACTCGACTCTAGATGACGGAGGAAACACACCGCCGACCATCCCGCGATGTGAGTGCTCCATGCTGGATGTGAGGTTTACACAGCGCTCGGTTTGCAAAGCACTTTTCTCCCTGGACGTCAGCAAGCCGAGTGGGCCCGATGGAGTCCCTCCCATTGTGCTGAAGACGTATGCTCTGGAGTTGGCACCAGTTTTAACGCGTCTTTTCCGGTTCTCTTACTCCCAAGGCGTAGTCCCGAATTCTTGGAAGACAGCTTTGGTCCACCCGATCCCTAAAAAAGGCGACTGCTCAGACCCGTCCAACTACAGGCCTATCGCCATCACCTCCTTGTTCTCCAAAATAATGGAATCCATTATAAACTGCCAGCTCATGAGGTATCTTGAAGATCACCAGCTGATTAGTTACCGCCAGTACGGTTTTCGTCGGGGTCGATCAGCTGGTGATCTCTGGGTTTCCTTACTGATAGATGGTCGGAGGCAGTATGGAGGCAGAGTAGAGTCCAAGGGGGAGGCATTGGCCGTTAGTTTGGACATAGCGAAAGACATAGGATCGGGTCTGGCACAAAACGCTTGTTTCGAAGTTTCCTTCCTATGGGCTTCCCGAGAAATTGTACAAATGGATCACCAGTTTCCTTGCTGATCGGAGCAACAAGGTCGTAGTAGACGGTGCATGCTCTGATTTCAAGTCTATCAACGCTGGTGTTCCACAAGGCTGTGTGCTATCACCAATGATATGTTGCAAACTGGTAACATTCATTACTATGCAGACGACAGCACAGGTGATGCCTTATATACCGGCCGTGCCAATATTTCTCGGGAAAACGTCGCCGAGTACCGGAACAAACTTGTGTCTGAAGTCGAGTCTTTGCTGAACAAAGACGGATCCCCAATCCGACTAAATCTAGTCCAGTTCAATCCCCAGAAGACACAAGTTTACGCTTTTACCGCTAAAAATAACCCCTTTGTCGTATCTCCTCAGTTTCAAGGCTCTCCCCATGCTGCTTCAACTAGCATCGGAATCCTCGGCGTCGACATATCGAATAGTGTGCAGTTTCGTGGTCGCTTGGAAGGGAAGGCCGAATTGGCCTCTAAAAAGCTTGGCGTGCTCAGCAGAGCGAGACAGTATTTCTGCCGGTACATCGCTTGCAATTTTAAAGAGCGCAAGTTAGGCCTCACATTTAATACTGTTCTCATCTCTGGGCCGAGGCAAGCCAGTGCCAGCTCCTTCCTTTTGACCGCATCCAGCGCAGAGCGGTTCGAATCGTTGACGACCGAATTCTTTCTGATCGGCTCGATACACTGACACTGCGTAGAGATGTTGCATCTCTTTGCGTATTTTATCGCATCTATCACGGGGAGTGCTCTGAGGAATTGTTCGGACTAATTCCAGCCGCTCAATTTCACCATCGCACATCGCGACAAAACTCGCACACTCCATCTGGACGATTGGCGGTCCACCACTGTGCGATTTAGGAGAACTTCCTTGTGGAATTGATTACCACCAGCGATTTTTCCGGACCGATACAGAAACAGAAACAGAAACTTTTTTATTCAATATAGATTATAAAAAATACTTATTGAAAGTTACTCTTTTGTATAATTACCACTGGTTCGAAAAAAAGAACCTCTGTCCTGGAAAAAACCAGCAAGAAACCCAGCGGGACTTTTCTTTTTTTTAATAACAGCTTACAATCATGTATGTTACACAAATTAACAACACAACAAATTAGAAATAGCTTGGTAGCGATCACCTCATTTCCAGGGGTCATTATCATCTATAAATTCTTTAATATTATAATAACCCTTTTTATACAAACTTAGTATAATAAAGTTTTTGAACTTTGAGCAGGTCAAATTTTGTATATTTTCTGAAAATTTGTTCTAAAAGCGTATACATCGCCCCAAGAATGAATTACTGACTCGATGGAGTCGAGCAACTGGTACTACTAGCTTGTGTTATTCCTAGTATTTACAGAATGAATATCACTTATTTTTGTAAAACTACTTTTATTTTTGTGTACGTACATTACATTTTCATAAATGTATTGAGAGGCCAACTAACTTAAGCTTAACTTCCTTAAATTTTTGTCTCAGCGACTCTTTAGGCTTTAAATCATAAATTGCTCTTATGGCCCTCTTCTGTAAAACAAATATAATTTCAGTGTCCATAGCAAAATACCATACGACATTATGCTATGGAAATAGCTAAAGTAAACTAGTCTAGCTATTTCAACACTAGTTAGACTTGTAATCTTTTTTACAGCATATGCTGCAGAACTAAGTCTGCTTGCTAGTTTTGATATATGGGGGCTCCATTGAAGCTTCGCGTCTAGTGTGATTCCAAGAA